TTAGCATAAAAGGCACTGGCCATGGCACGGCAGAACAACGTTCACTCGATAGAAAGTTGGATTTATCGAACTCATCTTTAAATCCTACCAAAAAAAATACAACCCAAATCGTCTCCTCCCCCACCCCCAAAAACAAAATTCACCATTTCCCCTCAGACGTTTGCACAAGTGCGACATCCACGTTTGACATTTATGTGATACCTACGCCCTCTTGCCTTTTCTTTTGTTTTGCAAGTCCCTTCGGAAAAAAATACCAATAAACAAATTCCCAGGAAAAGGAACTAAAGCTGGAATATGTAGACTTACGGCCTTTGACATTTTTCTCTGCGTGTACGTTGCTCGCACAGTTTACCAAGCAGAACGCACCGTCGGCTTGCCGAGCTTTTAAGCCAATTGCTGTTCACTTCCAATTTCTCTAAGTCCCCTTAATATTGTCCTCAACCATTAAGCTTATACTTCTCGGCGCATTGACGCGTTTTTCTTTGATCATCGTTAATTAATAATTTATTTTTGAGTTCTATGCTCATATTTCACGATTGTCTTGTTTCACAAACCAATGATGGAAAAACAATGGCAAAAATTGTTCATCTTTTCACCCACCACACTTCAGAACGGTGTTTTGCAGTTGCTTTTTACTTTTTGAGACTTTAAACATCTCATGAATTGATCAAGATAGCATAACTTATCATCGTTAAATCAGATTCTTCTTTCCTCTTATCCTTCAGCTTAGTATTTCGGCGTATAGTATATACTATTTCACATCCCATGTTTAAATTGTGCCACATTTTTCAAAATGTTTGTTCCTTTTCTGGTTATATCATCGGACAAATGCAGCTAATGTACCATAAAAGTGAACGACCACAACAGTCATGGATCCACTTCACATAGCAGTTAATTTCATCAACAATATTTTTACGGTTACTGTTTCGTTGACTGCACAAACGAGTCCACCCGAGCTTAAAAAAAAATAGGTAACCAACGACTTTAATATACACGCGATATTTCTATTCATTACAGAGACCGAGGTTCGTAGACAAGCTAAATTGGCTTTCTGCGCTCAATTTGCCCAGTTTACAGGCCGGATTGATTTTTCAATGGCAGATCTTATTAATTCTTTGAGGAGCAAAAGCGGAATTAGCTCGGGTTATTTCACGCAATATAGCTTTTCTGATGAATTCATTTTCGCTTCTGATGGGATTCTTACGTCGGTGCACGTATTGTTGGGTTTTGCCAATTGCATTTGGCAAATAATAATGTCAAGAATGACTGCGCATGCGCGAATGCATTCGTGGGCACAGTATAGTGTGCTCAAATTTGTATCCTTGGGTGTACTAGTTACCACACGGTCCTATCGGGCCTAGGGCCCAGGGCCACCCACACTTAAGGCGGAGGGGTTTACTGTACTCTCACAACATGCTTCCCACATTTTCTCCTTTGGTAGAGGAACAAACAAGTCGCTATAATTTGAGAACGCACCTTAGCTTGGCCAATTTGTGAAATCCGTGTATCCTCAATTACTTACATGTGTTCACGTCACTGATAGCAAGTCTACTTGAGCTCCTAAGTATAGCCCAATTTGAATGTTTTCTTCTCTAGTGCCTTGCATACATGTGCAAAAGGTTTACCCCCAAATCACGGGATGTGAAAATTCCGGCAAGCTCAAAATATACCTATAGTATACACATAAAAGTTGAATTTATATTATTTCCGACGCGAAATATTTTAAAGTGCGCAGTGAGCCCATTTAAACTGCGGCCCCAAACAAAACATGTCGATGGATGTGTCATTGTATAGAAAATAATGGTCCATCATAGTTTCTCAATTTCAAAGAAATCCTTACTGGTGTAAATTGGACATCCGGTCAATGCGACACGTTATAGGCATCCCATTTTCCGATTTTGTGGAGTAATTTCTTACATCATGCCCCTTGTCAATTTTGTTTTGAGCCGTAAATTTCATGACACCAAATTTCTTCACAAGGTTTCTATAGTGAGTGTTATGGAAGTTAATAAGTTCCAGTTTTAACTTGATGAATTTGAGCTCATCGGCAAATAGGTTCGGCGACATAGGCCTATGAGGAAACTCGGGAGAAAATGTCTTGTGCGTTGCGTTGAGCCTCCCAAATTTGGGCCCAGGGCCTCCCATAACCTTAATATGGCCTTGCAGGTGTACATAACAAATTTGACTCTACCTCCCTAGAGTGAAAATCACTTTCAAAATGAGATTGGAATACGATGGAAAGAATAAGTTGCAGTGCAAACTCGAGTGAAAAAAATTGATGTTATGAATTTTACCCGAAGTCTTCTTCTTGTTCCTCGTTTTAGTGGGATTGCATTGAGTGAATTTTCAATTTTTTGGAGATAGTAGAGAAAAACTAAGCAGAAATTCATCACTACATCGTCCCGTTTATTTCGAATAATTTGAAGTTTATTGTTCAACTCATCTTTATAGGTAAAAGTCCCCCTTTTCGAACAGCCAGGACTTCAGGAACCCGCAACCCTGGGTTCAATTCTTAAAATTGATGATGATACTAATCATCGCGAATTGATGTACTGCACCAAATCCTGTTTTCGAAATTGGTAACATAAATAAAACATATCAATTGATTTATGAAGAAAAACAATCGATTAAACATGTACCATAGTCTTACCGAGCTGCCGGACTAATTCGAGTACGCCACGTTATGCAACCCCCTGCCCGATTTTCCAGACACCACATTTTTGTTTTAACTGTCAGACAACATTCCATTCATGGCACTAAAATTATTGTTTACATGGTTTCCATAGCAAGATATAAAACGGTCATAGTATAATATTTAAATTAACGAATTTGAAGCTCATCGACAAAAGTTCAGGGAAAAAAGAGTTCTTGTTTTTTGTGAGACTGGGATCGGCATATCTTAAGCCCAGGGCCTCCTATGTCTCAACCCGGCTGTGCATGGGCACAGGTATGACGCGTGATGACAAGAAGGGTGAAACATTTGCATGGCTCATCTACTGTGTGAACATACCGGCTGTTACGTTGAGAAGATAATCATGAGATGGTAAACGAAGCTTTAAAACACCATCAACCTGTTTGTCTGCCCTTGCACTGCAAAATGTGCAAACACGCTTTGGGTGGTTTTGGAAAATTGGATTTCTCGTTCAGTGCAAACCAGATAGCGCCTTATAAATGCAAGGCAATCTCAGTTGTCAACGATCAGGGTTGTTGTACTTCTCAAATGTGTGAAAGGTACTGATGGGTGTTTCAGACCTATAACCATAGAAGAGCCGTGCACTATATGCTCATGTTGTTGAATGAGAACCAGACTGATGCATTTAGGAACTAAACATTATATTCAAAGTAGGTGAGACATGGCAATTACGCTGTCAGTGAAGCGAGCTAGCTAACGTGTAAGGGTCTTCAAACAAATTGCATGAATGCGGTTGAGAGAGACTATAACCCCTTTTTTCAAGTGCATTTTGTCGACAGCGAAAGAAAACATTCTCATTTTATTTCGTTATGCCTTTTAGGGAAACCACATCACGTATTTATCCATAAAGGAATCGAAGAACCGTTTTCTCTTTTAGTAGTTCATGAAATTTATTGGTTAAAAAAAAAACATTCATTACTTTTCTTCCCAAAACCACCATTAAAAGCCCACATGGGAGACTCTGTCTGTTCGTCTACCCGCCTGTTTGCTTGTCTGGCTTTCCATGCATATTCCGGAGCTTCATCTCCGTAATGGTCCCCCCCCCCCCTTCAGGCAATTGCAACCCGTTTCATTACCATACTGATCAGCCAGTAGGGCATCAAGCTAATTAGAAGAGCAATTGGCTTTTTAATCATCGTCTAATTACGCTACAAATATAGCTCTACAGAGGCGTTGCGTGGATGGGTTCTTCATTGTTTCTCTGTGTCTTATCAGAGAGTCTTTGTTCCCTAAACAAAAGGATTACATGCGTGGGAATAAATGATCAGTGTCTGATAATCACCTCGTGTGTCTTTTTGCGAGTCTGCCATTTCGTAATTCGGTTTCCAAAAAGTATGCACATTATGTCATTGTCATTTGACATTTGTAAGTTGTAGAATGCTATACAATGTGCATATGTACGTGTATGTGTCAGTGATGATTTCGGATATTGTTTGGGGTGTTTAAACGTTTTAAAGACAAAACACGAAACTGAAAACTCCCAGTATTTATGCCATATGTCGGTAAGCTATTAATCGTTGATGACATTTCCAATGCTGTGACAGGTTTGAGTGTTTCAAATTTATTCATTTCGAGAGGGCTTAATATCGCATTTAATTCAATATAAGTTAGTCGTTCATTATCCTTATATTATGGTTTGCTACAAACAAGTGGGAAATAAATGTATATATCAATGGCTTAAGTGATTCAGCCTAAGGCATGGGATACCTGTGACAACGTAAAATGTTTATTCCTAGATCATAAATCACAAATATAAATATTCATGTAATAACAATAATGCCGGTGGAGATGACTTATTTTGTACCATAAAATTGAATAATCCTATGATAAGAAGAACAAATTTATACAGTTCATGACATTTCTGAAATAAAATCAAGGGAGATCATGAATTCCGTAGGATGCAACAATCTTGAAGTTTTTTGCATCAGTTATGTAATATTTCTTTAAAAATGGTCGTCAAATGTTTGTTTATTAGTTTATTTGTTAGTTAGTTAGTTTGGTTGTTTGTTGGGTTGTTTGTTTCTTTATTTATTTAGGCTGTGTGTGATTAAAGTCTCTCGTTCTTGTAAAAACAATCTTCCCATTTCCATTGACCTCAAATTGTGAGAAAATTATCTTGCTTGACTTTACGAAATGAACGACATTTTAGTGCTACAATGTAATACTTCTGAATAAACATTTTTATGATATCGCGTTTTATCAGCATTCTTCATTTGTCCCGTGGCAAAGTAGGCCTACAATTCAGATTTTTCTCCTGTTCCTTTTAAAATGAACACTTGTTTACACTTGTTTCCATCTCTATTAACAGGGTCGCTGCCACTCAACGATGATCCTGAAACCGAGGCTGGAAATGAGGTAGGTTCAAACTCCCGTTTGATTTATTTAATGTCCATTTTCTATTTCCTGACACCTTAGGGCGCTTTATCAGTAAAGGCACTTCAGGCACGTCCACTCTAACATTCGAAAGTTTCAGGATTGTGTGTACCTGAAGTGCAGACTATTGCAATACTGTAGTTCGTTCGTATACTGCCATGTGCTCAATCAAACCCATGCATCCCCTTTGTTTTGTATTTCTTTTCTTTCCTCATTTTCAATCATCCCCATTTGAATTGAGTGTTCTCGGGCGATACCACACGCGATGCCGGATCCGGACAGATTTGGGTCATTCGATAAATCTGTCCCTGTCCCTGTTACACCTGCCGTCTATAATGTTATTATTCTAATGCACTTCTTAATGCCGTCAGCCTCCAAGAGGGATTATGAAAAGCAAACTGCCTACCCAACAAATAAAAAATCGTTTGAAGTCATCCTTGATAATACGTGAGTGACAAATTACAAAGAACCAAGGTAACATAGACGGGGAAAATGTCACATTTTGGACCCAGAATTTATTGAATGACCCATTTGTGATCTGAATTACTCGCATAAAGCTTAGTACACAATACCAAGATCTGCGGTGGGTGGGCGAACTAATTAATTAAACTCTAAATGATCTCACGGCGTACAATATGCGCACGGCGAACACTGTTCCCTCCCCCGCAGAGGTTTAAAACAATTTCAGCGAGACAATTGTCCGTTTCCAATCGAAAATAATCGCCCGTCTGTGCTTGTAATTAACCAAATTACACTCTGTGACGTCAGGAATATCAATCATCCCAAGCAATTTTGGGGAGCCGGAGACGAACGCAATTCACTAAAAGACTAACAGCTCGGCAGGGTATTTGCATGGGATTGTTTAATATCCCGTTTTGGCGGCAAGCGCTATATTGGTTTGTGCGTCAATTATTATTTCCATGCAGCACACAGCACCAAATGAATGTTATGGTTGCGGTCCGGAAAGATGACAATACTAAATGTACACTTGGAGAAGAGTTTAGTCAACGTTGTCACAAGTTTCATTAGCCCACCCCCACATTCACCACCATAACTTCAGGTTATAGTTCGTTCTGGAGTCGGCAAACGCGCATAGTATATGCCGCACTTGCGTGTATGTGACTGAGCGTGACAGTTGGTCCAGATCGAGAATGCGACGCGGTCGCGGTAACAAACGAATAAAACACGGCCAATTACCGACTTGCAATCGAGTCTGACCTAAGAGGGGACGTGGTTACCCAGGTAACAGAGTATCTTGAACCGAAACTGGTAAAATGTCAGTACTGAAAGCAGTCATGTGCGGTAAACCATCACAAAATTGTATTGATACCTCCCACACTATATGCCTTTCTGGCATAAATAATTGAGCTCACCTATGAAGAGTTATGTCCAATCCGTGTTATTAATTTTTAATGTCCAAGCTGATTAGGTAAGGAATAAGTGAGCCTCGAGATGGGCTGCATTCGGACTTAGCTTAAAAAGCATATGATCATTTGCATTTATCCCAAAAGTAACCTACCGAAATATTACCAAGAAACTTATACTTACTTGGTTAGAAGATCGTACCGGAACTAAATACCCCGTGAAAATATTCCGTCTGGCTTGCTGTCATGTAGAAGATCAAGATATCAAGAAATTTAGATTTCTAACCATCCGTCAATTGGCTGGGGGTTTTTTCATAAAGAGTGCTACTGATCAAATCGTGTTTCGCGATCAAAATGTTGTACATGGTTTTTCACTGTTTTCTCGAAAAGTGCGATTAACTGAGCTGAAACTTCAGCAGGATGGCTTTGAGTATACTCTTCTTTGGACTTCGCGTGGTGTTGTTATTGAAAACGAACAAAATGAAAAGCAAACTTAAATGATCCTACATGCCTTTAATGACTCGGGCTGAAGTGTGGACTCCAAAACCGAGGGCTGCCTGGATGAAGTCCAATCCGATGGTGCATCCGTTGCGTGTCGCACCACTGGTAATTGATTTCCCTACTTCGTATTTGTTGGAACGAGTCAGCATGTCTGTCATGCCTCTCTCCCCTCGTCCGCTCTTTCTCTCCTTTGATCCTTTTCGTCAGTGCATTGTGAACTGCCAAGGAAAAAAAACCAGGTGCTCCATTATTCTCCGTTGAATTCCGATCCAAGATCATCGTCATGGTGATCCTTGTTTTTTTTTTTCTTTTTTACCGGAGTCATGATGAGAACAAAATAATCATGATTAAAAACATTTGTGTTGTCCGGTACCGGATTCCATATACATTCGACAACGAACGTGACTTCCGCATAAAAAAAATCTGAATTAAAAAAAGTGCGCATGAACTGATTCCTTGTGGGGTGTATTTTTTCTTTCTCTTCTTCATAACAAAAGATGGCAAGCCTAGTAAAGATGATACCAGAGTGCACAACATGGTGCTCAATCGATTCGGAATGGTTATTCACTTGAAGTCTTTGCATGCATCGTCCAATGGGCCAGGTTTAGCTCAGTCAGTTGGTGTATCAAAAGGGGGTCATTCTATAAGATAGCACTGCCCGGCTCTCTTCATCATTCTACAACCGTCTTAGTCACAAGTCACAGCCGGGGAGCCAATCAGTCGGGGAGTCGGGGAGCCAGTCAGTCGGTCAGTCAGTGAGATAGGTACAAGGAAGACACTGGGCTGGCCCCTGGTCGAGCAAAAACACGAATAGCATTAAGGGAGACGCAACTGTATAAACCCTTGTGAAAGCGGTCCGGATCCGCGGAAGAACATAAGTTTAAAACACTCGGAATTGTTTTCTTCAAGCTTTTGTGAGGTTCGCATCCCGCCTTGGCGCCTATGTGCGGTCAGTTGGAAAGATTGACTGCATTGTGAAGCTGTGGATGCACCTTTATCTTGCAATGATTTTGTTGGTTTTGAGCGAACAGAATATAATATTTGTCTCCATCGTGTTCATGTTTCTTCCTGCAACAACACGACATATATCTTAGCAGAGAGCATAATAATCATAATGCATAAATGCGGCTTGATGTTTTGACTCACCCCGAGGCAGAAACAGGCGAAATGACATGTTCCTCATTGAAGATGGTGAAATAAAGAGTAATAATACCTCCTGAGGTGATTAGATGCTCCCTATATCTTGCAAATTGGCCGTTTTAATAATAGATGAACCTCAATTTAATGCTATATACAAAAAGCTGAACAAGTGGAAAGGGCAAGAGTGTAATGAGTGGTTGGGAAACCTGAACACTTCGTACCACAGAATGTGTAAGCCCTAACGAAATAAATAGGACAATCTGTCTTCAGATGATTTTAAAACAGATGCCGAACTTGGCAACAAGTTTACTTAAATAACCCTGACTACCACTATCACTTACTCATGCAAACACATTTTGGAAAACTTTCAAAACAGAACTGTGTGCATGTTTTATTTCCTTTAAAAGAGGCTGCCCGCTAGTAAAGCTACCCCTCCCTTTTTTCCACTGACCCCGCCCCTTTCCCCTGACTAAGCGTGGGCGTCAGGTTTTTGGTGGTTGTGTCTCCAACGGCATACGCGTAAAATCAAATTATTTCCTCTGCATGGGCTGAACCGACCAACAGACACCGACGTTGAATGGACAGGATATTTGGTAATCGATACAACAGCGTATTGGCGACGCGTCTCCACACTCCGGCTGCCTAGCAACGGATACTAAAATAGCCGAAACACAACAACGATATCTCACGTTAATTATCCCTATGCCATTGCAGAGGACGCGACGGTTTGCATATTTCATGCTTGGGATGGATGGTGATATCACTCTGTTGTATGGATTCCATGAAGCGAGACGTATGCGAAAAGATCGTTATATTTATATTTCATTTTAGTGCTCTTCAAAATTATGGTATAGTTTGTGTTCTTAGGGCGTGGTACAACTAAAATGGGTTAAAACTGGAAGTGCTGCCTTACAGGCTTCATGAGGTATTGCACATAACAATTGGTTAATAGGTAAAAATTCATTTAAAAGTGTGAAAAACATGTGTCCCAAAGCAATATTTTTGAACACCAAATACATTGTGAACTGTGTGTATGGTCATTTCAAATGCAAAGTTCACTTTTCGGTTTTGTTAAAAACTACAGGTTTTTTCTTAATTCCTAATAGTTCATTGGGAATAATACATTAATTTTAATTCGAGCATGGTTATACCAGCTTCAATGGAACGTTATCATGTTTTAGAAATCTTGGCCTGGGTTGTGAGCCTCGAGTCAAAAGCTGCTTTTCCTCAGTGGATCATAATGTATGATCCGAAGACGGGCACTGAATTCTCAATAGGCAATTTTTTTTAACAAATAGGGGCGCCGTATGACGCAATTTTCAAGGCACAAACAGCTAAACATAATCGCTAATTGAATGATTTTAGTATCTTTAATTCAATCTGGAAAAAAAACAGATCGTAAAAGTTATTTTTTGAATAGTGGTAACATTTGTAAACTTACAACTTCAACCTTTGATTCACGTTTGTTTGTGCACACTACAAAACTAGCGCCCTCATTAGTTTAATTTATGTCTTTACTGGTCATTTATTCACCAAATAAGTAATGTTGAATCACAGCATGACTTGTGGGGTTAAGGAGTCCTTTCATAATTCTAAAATATAACTTTTACTTTATTAATAAATTAAAATTATCACATCTTTTGCTTTAGCTTTTTTAATACATAGAATACATACACAATTTAATCTGATTTATAAGATTATTGACCTTTGTTAATAATCAAGTGTCTTTTGTTTACTTCATCTCGATAGTTAGAAAATATCAGATGACAATTTTATTTGGTTGAAGACCTGTTGACGTTACGCCTTGTCAACTACCAAAACGTTTTAATTCAAGTAATTATTGTCGTGAGCTGTATTCATAATATTTAAGTTAACCTTTATCTGTCATTTCCTTTGATCTTCTTTTTCCTCGCATACTCATTGCAACTTAATTCATTATAAATTTACACCTTAAGAACTCCTACCCCGGGTGATGCTGATTATAATAGCTTTTGTGAGTGGATGGTGGGGCAGTGGCGGTGAAAATTTGAATCTGCCATGCAAAAAAATGGTTGCTGTCTCAATTTGTTGCTGGCACAACTATTACTGAAGCTTCACATGTCTCCCTGAACGTCATGGTTGTACAGGCTTCAGTGAATTTTCCATTGTACTTATGATTTGCCTTTTCATGGTTATGTAACCACGTACTAACTGGCATTCAGCTTTCTGCTTTGTTCCCTGTGTTTCTTATGTAAGTGCCACGTGCAGCTCACAACTCCTGTTGGGTTGTGACGCACTCATCAATTGAATGACCATTCATCCATAAATTTATATGGTTCATTAGCCTTTATCAATCAAAGACCAAACTCGGAGCTCCAACATACTTGCGGGCGACGAGAACTAATTATTCCAGCCAAGTTTAAGGCCACAGCCTCAAATCCTTTGGCTTTAATAGCTAACCTTGGATCGTTTCCCCACCCCGAACGGGTCTCTCTACCAACAATAGGCAGACGCATACATTGACTCGACACGCACTCGATCTTCGGCCTTCGAGAAAATCCTCCTATCAATTTCTTACTGTCTCCCTTTGAAATATGAATGATTACGCGTGAAATAGGCTTGCATTTCGATTCGTACTTCACACATCAGAGGAAACCTTTCTTCATAATTCATAACAGTGACTTGCGAAAGAGGTGTGAGGTAAAAGTGCAGAAATCTAGCCGAATGCAATTGATTGATGTATGGAGAGTATCTTACAATCAAGAAAGGTGTTGGACCCAGTAAAAAATAAGATGCGGAAAATGCAGTTTGATTTCACCGTTTGGTTAGGATAGTTTGAATTCTCATCACAACAATTCGTCCCCTTAAGGAGTATTGCTGCCACATCTTGGCAGGAGCTTCTGCCTGTCACCTATCTTTATTGGACAGGATGCAGAAGCGTGTAGCTAATCTGGTTGGTGTGGAGTTGGCCTCTTTTCCACCGTAGGTCTGTTGCCACCCTTTGTTTGTTGTACAGATATTTTCATGGTCATTGCGACACTAGTCTGGCCAACCTGGTTCCTCCAATCAGAGTGTTTGAGATAGAAACCTCGGCTTTCTGCCCGTTCTTATCAATAAAATGTTGCACTACCTAGATGTAGAACAAAATAATATTCATTTTTCCCACTTGCTGCATCTCTTAGGAATTCCTCTTAGCACCAGTGCTTGTTTTCGCCAACTTATGATTTGTCTGTTTAACGAAGAATGTTAATTCCTACCTTCATTTTTCCCGAGTACCTTTTCTTGTTTTTATTTATCATAAAGCCCTGCACCCAGAGCGGTTTTTTTTTTCAGTATTGTTCAGGGGAAATGTGCAGTTAATAAAAATCCGTTGTCTCAGTGATTCAGATAATGATAATATTGTTTCTCAAACACTTTGAATGGACACCATCAAATATTATGAGCAATTGTCTTTTCCAGCCATCTTCTATAGCAACGAGTACATTTCTTTAATGAGTTAGTTCCTCTGTTTGCTGGGAAGGATAATCTCACACATGAATCGAAAAGCCTTCAAGTATAAACTATTGGATACGACTAATTATACAATTCAAAAGCTCAAATCATGGCGTAGGAGTTAAGAGCATTTTACACTCATAAGATTAATATGTTTTAATTTAGCCGATAGATAAAAGAACCGGAAAAAAAACCTACAAGTGAAAACCATTAATATATAATTATTGGCCATATACAAAAGCTTTATACGCTGTGATGAAGAGACTAATCCATGCGTTACCCATTAGTGAAAAAAATTGCTAAATGAAGTCCATCTGCCAAGCCACGCCTCCGTTATAGCCTGGGCGCATCTCGTTCACGCGAGACAATCTTGGAACTTGCGATATTCAGAGTGGGGTCCAGGCTATGTAGTGCAGAGTTCAACGAAAACGTTCGAAGTCTGATACCGCCGTCCTCATAAATTTATTATTGAAGTCAACGATGCGGCTTTTCATCGATTCCGAGCCGACTCTTCGCGCCGATTGTGTCTGATGAGAGAAAGGCCGTGTTATTTATAGCTTCCCCTCTCACTACAGCTTTTTATGGTTTTTATTGTTGTTTAATTGTCTCGATAGTGAATTCATTTCTTCTCAGTTCATGGAATCAAGGCCATTATGAACAAAAGAGTAATATTATGGTCTCTTGCGTGCACGAGGAGTGTTACATAAATATTTATCCTTTTCCTGTTTTTTATGCAATAATATCTTGAAACTTGCTGAGATCTGTGATTAATTTGTATTGTCATTTACGTTTCTATAATTCTCTCGATGTGCTGTTTAAAGTGTTTGGTCTACTCCAACCCCCCTCCCAAAAATAAATACAAAGTGGGATACTTTTATTTTCTTTCCGTGTATTTAGACACCCTTTTTATCAAATAAGACTTAATAGTAACCAAAACATTACGTTTCAGCCCTTCCTGTTAACAGAATTGTTTTATCAAGTCGTAGTATTTGAATAAAACCAAAAATACACTGAAACACCGTTTTAAATGACAATGCAAAACCAAAAAATATAAGTGAAACACTTTATAGTGCGTTTCAAGGACTAAATTAAAGAAAAATCATATTGACGGCCCCATAATATAATTATATACTATTTGTGGTTTATTTCTGAAGGTTCCGAAGATGACCAAGTATGGCTGCGTGCTGCTCATCTTCAAGCATCCCACCGGACTCCCCGACTGTGTCCATGAGGTAAGATGATACGGGTCATTCTAGAAATTTGGGGTCCACTTTTTGTTTCCTGTCCCTGTCACATCTTACATCTATGATTCTATAATTCTGATGCACTCATTAAAGCAGTCGTCTTTCAAGGGTGACTATGAATACCGAGCTATACCTAACTAACACCAAAAGGTTTGACGTCATTCTAGTGACACTTGATTGGCAACTTACAAAGTACCAAGGTAACAGGGACAGGAAAAATGTCACACTAGAATGACCCAAAAACAAAATTCGAGCAAACGCCGAGACCGAACGTCGCCAATAATCAGATAACAGTGTCATTTTAACACCATTCGTTTTGCCAAACTAGAGGTTTCAGTAACCAAATTTACAAACTATAGTCAAGAAATGGCGCGAGACGGAGAAGCATGTCGATCCAAACACTGATATCTTTGATTTGATAACCGATCAAGAGGGGGCGCTATAGTATTGTTACGATTGTTCGTGCCCTAAAATCACTTTGCCAAGGCGTGATGCACCTATCAACTTGTTTTTCACACCCTCCCCCTCGACGCTGCCCCGGGTCTTCTGTCGGGCATTGGTCAGGTTTTTCAAACCCTAGGGTGGGAGTATTGGCCATTTGTTATCATTGGCATACCAGATGGGCAGGCAACCAGTTTAGGGGGCCCAACCCATGCAGCAGCAGCAGCATGTCGAGATAGACGCTTGTATTTTGCCCCAATTTTACCTTCAAAAGTGGCAATCCCTACATCTCGGGCGGGGCAGGCCGGAGGAGAAGGGGTGGGGGAGTCAATTGATAGGTGCATAACGTGGTGAGTTGTCTCTATGATAAGGATTGAATTCGATTATTCCATTCTTGTATCAACTTTTTCCAGTTCTTCAAAGAGCCGGACTCACTTAAAATGATTTCGGACCTCCGACAAGAACTCACACAGAGCGAGTCCAACGAAGAAGGTATTAAAAATCATCATTATATTGGATATATGTTATTGCTAGATACCCGCAAGATAATGATGGGCATGTTGTGATCGTGTAGAATCTATTTTGTTGAAGTACTGGTGTAGTGTGATTTGTGTACTCAATATGAAACACGGACTCATCGGTCGTATTGCGCATGCATTAGTGTTTGTTTGTTAACCTGTGAGATGTGCTATTTCGACCGCTTTCATGTTTCATGCATGTTTTCCAAAGACAGTGATCTGTTCAGACCTTACTTTAAGCACTAACTTTTGGTCGCACACTTTTCTGAGCTATCCATCATGATTGAGTGTTGAAGGGATGACTACAAAATACAGAGCCTACAGAAATGGTAGCACTTTATTTTGAGGAACTGATTTTTTCTTCATTGCTTAAGTGTTTGCAGAATGTCTTTTTAACTTTTCAGAAAATGAAATCAAATGTTTGGGCACTTTGTTCTCGCAAACGAAGCTATATTATATTCTTTTTAAATCACATTTGTTTGCATTTGGATGGCGCCCTATTTATCATTACCACAATCTAGTCGATATGTATGGGTAGGACCATATAGAAGATTTTAAGCTGCAACTGATCGGTCGAAAAGCGCTTGTATTTTGCTTGTCTGTGGCAAAAGAAATCGAGCAAAATGCAGGAGAATCATTTTATTAAGTAATAAGAAGCAATGGAAACTATGACATTCGGCTGTCGTAATTTGCAACTTGGCCTAAACAATGGCAATCCGAATCATTGTCGAATCGTTTATTAGTAGGAATATCTCGAGTTTACCATTGCCTTTCGTTGTGTTGGTAAACACAAGAAAATCCAAGAGGGTTTTGTTATCGGTCGTGAATATTTCAATATTCATTACTTGAAATCCGGACCATATCATGAGATGAACTTGTTTTATCGTCAGATCTGCAAGTAACGACTGAATTAAGTATACGGTGATTAATATTATTTCTTTAAAAAATGAATAAAATTGTCTCCAAAAAAAGGGGAAAAAGAAATCACAAGGGACAGAAATGTTTCCTGTTATTGTCCGTGAAAAGGAGAGAATGCGCATGTGCGCTTAGCCGCGTTTTCCCGGGGGTGACGCGGCCAAGAGGCGACAGACAATATGTAGCGCAAGTATTGCAGACGTGAATTAAGTGATTGTGCTGATGTTACTTGTCTAGCGTCAAGTGACTGCGGTTACTGACATCATGGAAAGGTTTTTCACCCGTTATTCTATATAGCTGTAGCACTAAATGCAATATTTTCTCTTACGCACAGGTGCCACTAGTCTTTTTGAAATGATATCACTGATGTTGCGCAATACGGTACTGAATGAACTTGAGCAAACAACCAGTCACTGTAATATATGCACATCGTGTATATTATCACATCGGAGTCAAGTAGTTATGAAATATCACTTGAAGTTGAATATCTCTGTTTAAACTTCAAATCAAACGGGCAAAACTTGGATTTGTTTTTATATTAGGGCATCCCTGTTTAATTCTCTGGTTTTCATTTCCGACTGACCCTATTTTGAGCTACCGACCCCCCCCCCCCCAAAAAAAAAACACACCTTTTTTATATTACCGCCAACATTGTCTGGAACCCCATTAACAAAAAAAAATACATAAATGAAAACAAAAAATTATTTCCAAATTAAGGCAATCGGATTGAGTGTAAATTATAAATCCATGGCACATGAAAAATTTGATGAATTGAGGGTTTCCCCCACAAAGTTGTGACAAGCAGGACCTTCATTCGAGAACCATTACTGTATATTAGCACATTTCCCCGCCCCGCCTCCCCCCCCCCCCCCCCCACGTGAAATACGCATACTGTTAGCCCAACTTCTCCGATGCTTTTCTGCTGCAGCGATTTGGCCACGGTTCAATTTGATTTGAATGCTTACCAGCGGAGATACAGTGTCTGGCAGTATACGCCATAGTAGTCATGACCAAGCACAGTTATGTACTTAGCATCTCACTGAAGTCATCATCTGGCATGGTTCATCTCCACACACGGTTAGCCCTGACCGTACCCGGGTGTATCAAACCGCCGTTGGGAGAACCCCAACCTCCCCTGCTATGCCAGCAATGTGCTCGCTGCCTCCGTCCTGCACGTCGGTCTAAGATCCACATACCAACACTCAAGAAGAAGAAGATGATGATGATAGTGATAGTCAAATAGCGATGTAGGTCTCTGGAACTAGACTTGCAACATGCATGAAGCGGCTACACGTGCAGGTCTTGGCGGGATTCAAGTCAGGGGATGAATTCATTCGATTGAAAACCACGAAATTAATGTTTTCAAATTTCGTAGGTTCCCATGTGACAATGTCAGTACATTTTGGGCATACACACTCGTGAAAATAAAGTAACAGTGGAACAGTCTCTGCCGACCATTACTAATCAACATTATAGTGAAGTGATAGAATACACTTTTTACGATTACAATAACTAAATGATTAAAAGGTTTGGATGGTGAAATGATTGAAAGGCATAGAAGGATTGAATTTCAAAAGATAATGCATCGTTTGCATCAATTTTGTATCTGTATATTGCATAGGGCTCGTTCGAATGACGACATTTCCTACAGACCAGCCACGTGCATCGGCATTTTGAGCGTGAACTTGCATAACGCGCATCGGCTGCGTCGTATTTCGAACACATTGCAAGCAACAAGCGACGTGCCAATGCTTGCGCACGCTTCGCCGAATAACAAAACGAACTACTAATTTAAATTTTCCTACGGTGCGTCTTAACACGCACCGTTGGAAAGCTCTTCTTTCGTTGATTACTTCAAAATAACAGCTTGCCAGAAAGAATAATTTCACAGGGAGTTTAGTTCCCTTACTATCTTTCAACCAAGTTTGTTTTTCAACAATAATCACGCCAATTACTTTTCGGATGGCTGCAAATGATGGACTATAGCTTTAAATACGCAGTTGCAGTTTTCCTACAGAGATGGCCGTCATTGAGCGAACCCTTTGCTTTTCTGATGAACGAAATATTTTGGAATCCTTAGAAGTCAGCGACCTTTAGGAAGTGGTGATGTACGCATCGCGCTAGGCTGACGCATTATCAGACTGTGTGCCTGTGCCATCTTAACTGTCTATCTTGTTGTCACTGGTGTGTCTTGTCAAGATCATGGATTTAGAAATTGTGTTTATGTTGATCTGAAATCATTCTTGTAAGACGGGTTCTGCGTTGTTGACTTGAGGAGAATGGTAGTCATGACGCTTAGAGGAGTGGTCAAGATTGGTTTGGTCTTTTTGGTGGCAGTTGCTTTGGTTTCAGCAGCAGGTAAGATTGCTGTAATTTGATTAAAGGGCGTTTGGATTTATTCTCAAGATTCGCAATTACTCAGCGCTCTACGACTGGTTTTCGTTCAAGGTGCCTTTAGGAAATAGAATAAACTGACGAACAGGGATGAAGTCGAGTCCATCACGAGTCCTCTAGTCCCAATAAGTCCTCTAGTCCCAATAGCTTGTTATGAAATAACAAGCTATTCAAATGAGCTTTGACAAAGTCATTCTTGGTAATTGCTCGTTAATGAATTCTTTAGACTGGACTGGTGATTTACTTGTGAGTAGACTTGTGATCGGCTCGACTATATCTCTGCTGCATGATTCATTTCTGCTGGTTTTACCGATCATTGTTAATGACGAAATAAATGACATTCCCTGTCGTGTCTTGAGGCCGCACCCGCGAAAAAATGGCCTGACAATTAATGATTTAAACATGTAAAACGTGATGAAACCAAAGTATAAGCAGTGGCGGTTCTACGGGGGGGGGGGGGGGGGGCTTGGTGGACTTCAGCCCCCAAAAAATTGTCTAGCCCCCCCCCCCCAAAAAAACAAATTCCATTAAAAAAAATGCACTAGCAAAATGTAAGAATTGGACGTACATGGGAACAGTCTCCCCCTAAAATAATGAGAAAGGTGGATTTGTTCACTTTTAGTTAATATAGTGTTCCTGATTGTAGGATTTTATCAGCGCTTCCCATTGAAAATATGGCACGAGCCCCCCCCCCCCCCCCCTAGTTTTCTTCATATTCTTCCAAATGTATTTTGTTGCAGAGTGAAATTACAGAAAGCCTCGTCTGCGTTTCACTACTTGCTACGTTCAAGGGGTATTATAAAACGAGCTGAAAATATATTTTTAACAGATGGTTTGCCTATCCATCCAACAGTTCCAATACACATTAATCCAGTGTGTGCATTCCTGAAAGAGGAGATGCAATCTCATTTGAAAATAATTAGGGTGTGATGTTTCACTTGGTGAATTAAGAACCGGTAATATGTATGATTTGAAGAGCTCATTTTGTGGTAAAACTTAATGCCTGAGTTGAGCTGCCTTTTGAAATTGAATCCAAGCGATGCATTATGTATTATTCAAAGCGATGTATCAGTACTACACTTTTGGCATCACGTCAAAGATACTATAGGAGACAGATAATGGATGTGTGTGACATTTACAGTTGGTACGTACGCCACCCTGGGAATAATGCAGTGTCGGGTTGTGTTGGCGCTGACTGCCATACAAAATGGCTCCGGCATCGCTGTGGCTATGTGCTCGAAATGTCTGACCGGAAAGTATTTCTGGAGTGTGGAGGGTGCTCACTTTATTCGTTCGTTCTATAACCATCAGCGCAAGACTGGGTTTTTTTCATCGAGATATGTACAGTCTTCCCGTTTTGAATTTCATCCTGTGTTCTATTCGATTCCATGCGCGGTGCACATTATTTCCCACCATGATAGGCATAATTATAAGCACGTAATAAGGCGTGCTGCGGTATTTTGTCTGCGTTGGAGTTGGTTCAATTGTTATTGATGAATATCAAAGAGAAGAGAGTTACACATGTCAAAGCGAGAGGTAACAAAGGCATGTACCAGTTGCTCTGCGTTTTGAGAGGTGTTTACGAATTTTCTGAGATTGTTTGCAGGCGATTGTGAAATGTGTGGCTGAAATGACATTGTGGAATCCATTTTGATACCTAGAATGCTAACACGTTTTACTGGGATAATATTCGAGCCTCCCATAGTGATGAAATAAACAGTGTATAGTGAGGGGAAATCATTCAAAACATTGCAAATGACTCTTTAACATTGCAAACGACTGTCCAAGACCGATCCAACCCAACCCAACCCAACTCAACTCAACCAAACCCAAGCCAACCCACCCAACCCAATCCAACCCAACCCAACCCAACAACCCAACCCAACCCAACCCAACCCAACCCACACAAGTGTGCCTGCAATCGGGGACCCCCTATTGTCCCTTTTTTGTTTGTACTCTTGAAGACCTCCCCATATGTTTTGTACACGAATCCAAATTGGGGACCTCTCAGGAATTGGGGACCCTATTGTCTTCTATTGTTCAACGTCCCCTTTTGAGTGCGGAAACAAACTCAACCCAACCCAACCCAACCCAACCCAACCCAACATTTATTTCTATTCTAGCACAACCCAAAATGAAATAAAAAAGCATGTACATTGAGAGAATGTAGTGTATTTGCACCGGTATATTTTTCGGGTCATTTATTGCACATGCATGCCTGTTTCTCTATTCAACTAGATGAATGTGTTTTCGTCTGCTTGTGTTCTTTTTTCGTTGTTTTTTTTTAACTTGACCTCAGCAATCTATTTGTCTCCTCACAGATAACAGTTTAGTTTGTGTATTTCAAATTATCTTTTACAAATTCCACAGGAATTAACGGAAATGAAGTAACAGACTTGTTGTGAAAAAAAAGTATTGGACGTAAAACAAGAAAAAAAAGGCCGAGTAAGCAGAATCACCCTTCTGATGTGCTTCATTTCGAAAAGTGAATTCATAATGTTAGGATATTTTGGAAATTCTGTCAATTTCTCAATACAGTTAACTTGACCCCAGATTCAGTGCTCGATTAAGTTTAGCGGCCTGTACGCGAATGGGAAAATGGATTAATAACGTTTTTAACCGTGCTCGCAATCTGGGGCTCCTTAAATTAACCTTTTCTTTGAATCTTCTGAATTATCTAAGAAACAATATGCCTTGTCTCGGGGATTCTAAAAAAAAAAAAATCCCCTTTTTTTGTATTACTGAGCTATTATTCATAGCATGCCCTCGCTCTTTTGAACTCACACGTGCAAAGGGCCCAAGAACTTGTTTAATATAAATGGTATATTTGATATTATCTCCATTTTTTTCTTTGCGAATTACAGCCGAAAATGAAGAGGTCGTTGATGGGCAAGAAGACGTAGATAACGATGTCAACGTCCCCTCTAAAAGGGTAAGCGATCATGATTAATCGCCATGTTAAAGTACGTCATTAGTTACTCCATGCAAACATTATGTCCAAAATGACTGTTAAGTGTCTTTACGGTGACACTTACGGAGAGTCGTTTATCTGTCTTGTCGAGGCATCTCGTACCGATACATCTTCATTTCTGACTGATTTATTTTTCTCGTGGTGATGTTCTCTACTTGTCTTTATTCGTGTGCTGTTTGTGCCCATCTATGTTTCTGATCATGTTAAACAACAAGTACACCTCGGCGAAAGCAGGATTTTTTTTTAAATTACTTGAAGCTGTATGAATTGTGTCATGTCAAATACTTTGTAACAATTAATGTCTTGCAATTAAAATAATTAAAAAAACAGAAGACAAATTCAAGTTGATTCTGACAAAATAATCAACACTGAATGGAGGAAAAGTGGAACGCCGAAAATTGCAATCAAAAGAACTTTAAAAAGGACAAAACGTTGCATAAACAAAAGATACGTCGTCATATCTTTCTCAGGCCGTCATCATGTAACTATTTAAACTGTTAGTTTTGCCATCGAGAACAGAAACTTTACATTGACTTCAACCATCCCCGAAAACATTGTAAAAACAAATAGTTGTACTCTCCCAACGCAAGTCACACTAATCCAACCGTTATTAAGCTCAAAACCAGCTCCGGCAGTAACGCAATCAAAATGTATCGTGTATATTACATACATATTACATACGTATTACTCTATGTTTATTACAATTTGCGTTTAATTTGATGCAAGAATATTATTTTCTGTGATCGTCGAATTTCATCCATCTTCCCGAATTTCATAAATTTTCCATATTAGCGGATGTTTATACGTGCCTAAACTCAAGTCAACATCCCCCTAAACCTCATTCGAAATTGTCTAAAGCTGGAGGCTAGAAAAATTTGATTCAACTCCCTGAACATGAAATATTCTATGAACTGGTACGATACGATACACTTTCAATGGAGTAGCTCAGACCGTATTTTGGAGACTTTTCCGGTGAAGGGAACGAGGATTCCTATTCATTAGCCCCCTTTTCTCCCGGGTTCATTTTCGTCCTTGTCCGGTGAAAGGGGGACAGGTGTCTCGGCGGGGCCCGATGGCACTGTTGGCGAGCGTTGTCGCCACCCAAACAAAAGTCCTCAGAGGTCGATGGCAAACTCTGAAAAGATCACCGCGATACTGTCGGGCCAAAATAATCCGTATGACTGAGAGATTGCTTTCGAGCAAAAGCTCTCTTGGAAAGCTGAAAAGATGGCACTCTCGGTTGATTTCAGCGCTGATTTCAGACTCTGTTCAAATGGGATTCCCTTTTTCATGAAAATACAAACTCCAGAATTCGTAGACGTATTCTCCGACGTTACATCCCTGCGGGAAAGGTGCTTTTCTTTAATAAACTTCGAAATCTCAAGTTGGAAATTGAACATTCATTTTTAGAATAGCAGATAGACAGGATTCCCAAAAATTATATCCGAAATGATAGAGTCAACAGAGAATCGCCCTTCGTACATAATTCCTTGTTTTCTTTCATTAACTGCCATGCCAAATGTAATTATGAAGTACAAACATGGAATGTTTTTTGTGCCAAGGATAAAAAAAAATGGTTTTTTTTCATGTGCCTACTGTGCATGTGCAAAAGTAACTTCAGTGCCTCGAAAGATACTTGTTATTTTTAAAAGTTGAACGTCCGTTGTTTTAAAACAGCATGCACTTTTATGGAAATCACTAAATGGCTACCGTTAAGATTTATTCAACCTCAACAGCTTTATTTTTTTACAAAATGAGAACCTCCATCTCATATTATGAATTGCAAGTTAATTTGAGTTTATTTCTTAAAACGTGCGGGAACATAGGATCAATTGCATTTATCCAAAAAGTAACCTTCCGTTTTAGTATTAAAAAAGCTTGCTTGGATTAAAGACGGGGTTGTTATGGTGCTAACGACCTCGTGAAAGTATTCCGCCTGCTTGCAGTCATTCATAAGCAGAAATCTAGAAACGCAGGTGATTTCCAACAATCAGTCAATTTACGGATTTTTGAAAATAACATTACATGGACGAAATCATGCATCGTGAAGAAAACGCTGTGCATTGTTTTTTACTGTTATCTCGAAAATTGTAATATCTACTGAGCTGAAACTTCAACAGGTTAGGTTTTTTTATTCTTCTTTGGATTTTGAGCGGCGTTATTATTGCAAACGAATAAAAATGCATGAAACTCAAATGATCATATATGCCTTTAAGGAGACTCTTGTACACATTATAACTAAATAGATTTTCTGTTCACAATCAGACGACAATTTTACTCTTTTGTTGCACGTTCCATGCCTGTTTGGAGAGTTAGCAATGAATGCAGAAAAGTGAACTTGTGCTTATAATTAAGGTATCATATGCCAAAAAGTGCTCATGGATCTTTCCAAATCCAATCGTAAAATCTTTTAAGAGTGGAGCTAAGTGCAGCAGCAGACTCGAATCGAGTTTAAATTTAATCTTTGCGAGGCACAAGCGAGTCGCACATTTTTTTGTTTGTTTTAAGTGAAAATGGTGTCACATTAAACCATTTTAATGATTACAATCGGGTGCGCCCAGAAAGATGGAGGGCAAATCGATGGAATAATGCATTCAAACATGGGAATGAGGTGCTGTTCACATTGCAATGAATATACCGCACTCCTTCCTAACGATTTACTCGTTTTCGAAAATAAAAAATAGATTATTATTTTATACTTGAAACCATCAAAATATTTACCAAACACCTAAGCTTTTTCATAGAGAGCTCACTGCAGGTCACGCTCAGTTTCACAGCTCATAGCCACATTTTGTTTAATTCGACTCACTGACACATTTACAATGTCGCACCGTAGAGTCAATCGCAAATCTGGTCACAGGTAACAAGGGGTGAACGATAACAATTGAAGGCCTTTGTCCCTGTTCATTTGAATGGCTTGTGACTTGACCTTTGGACGACTAAGTCTTGTGACTGACTTGTGATGAACCAAAAGGATTTGTGAGGACTCGACTACAATGATCGATGCACGCTTGCAGAATGTTAACCATGGGATTTATTCATGCTCCACAGGTTGAGGAGATAGCTGACGTTAATGATCAGCTGGGTGAAGATCTGCGCATGCTGTCAAGAAACTCCCCACCTGTGAAAGTCGAGATTATGGATACCGATGCTGATGTCACTACTGACCAAGACAATGACGAGGATGGTGATGATGACGATGATGGGGATGATGATGGGGATGATGGGGATGTTGGTGATGTCAAAGAAGAGGAGAAGGACATCGGAGAAGAAGAGGTCGTTGATGATGATGATGAAGACGATGATGACGACGACGAAGATGATGACGACGAGGATGATGATATTGAAGAGAAACTTTTAAAGCAAGGAGAAGAGTTAGTTGATGAAGAGGAAGACAAAGATGACGACGATGTCGATGAAGAGGGAGACGGTGATGGTGTGGCCAAGGAAGTCATCAATAACGACGATGGTGATGACGATGACGAGGATGACGAGGATGACGATGACGACGAAGAAGACGTTAACACGACTGAGAAGGAAGTCATTGGGGAGTTCAAGGACCAGGCGGCTGACGACGACGACGATGATGACGACGATGATGATGAAGTTGATGAAGATGATGACAAACAGGGCACCGCAGATGGTGCTGAAATCGGGGATGATGACGATGACAACGACGGTGATGACGATGGTGAGGAGGCAGCACTGTCACCACAAGAGGTCGAAGAGGAGACAGAAACACTCGTGAGCAAAATCTACAATATGGTGAGTGAGATACAACATCACCATCATCTCACAACGTTAACAACTATAGCAAAACAACACCCACAAAACCATCATTGTCACAACACCAAACGCCACAAGAATTATTCACGAAACCAATACAACAAACGAGCACTGGCAATCATAAATATTGGGAACTCCATTTCAAAAATAAAATCTTGCTTTTATACAAAAAATAATTTTCATTGTGTATACTTCCTTTTTGATACCTCAGCTGCAGGCGTTTGTCACCCGGGAAAAGGTCAACGATGGTGACGATGATGGCGACGATGAAACAGAGTTCAAAGATCCAAATGAACTCGGCGAGGGAGCTGAAGACAACGATGACGACGACGAAGATGATGATGACGGTGCAAATGTCATCAGCCAGATCCTCGAGGAAGCTAGCAAGGACGACGAAGACGATGACGACGATGATGGTGATGAAGAAGATTTCGTCGCTGCCGATGGTGATGAAGGTGAAGTTGAAGATGTTGACGACGACAACGAGAATAACGAAAAAGACGAGGAGGAGGAGGAGAAGGATGATGATGCTGGAATCGGTGTCAAGGAAGAAGAGGATGCCAAGGACTCTGGCACGGACATGGAGCAAGAGCTGGAAGATATCGGTCAGGCGAGAAACACTGAGGACGCCGCCGCCGATGATGACGAAGACGATGATGACGAAGAAGAAGATGACGATGATCAGGATAAGTTAGAGGCAAAGAAGCAAACAATAACCGATCTCGAGAAGGAACTGCTGGAGGCCCTCACCAAGACTGAAAACGGTAAGCTATTGACAAGAATTGTAACAAAGCATTCCTTTGTTTTTGTTCACCCTTGTCACTTGTGACTGGACTTGTGATGACTAATGAAAGGACTTTTGTACGACTTGTGATGAACTCCAGTACAACACTGGGTCGTGGACTGACTTGTGATTTGACTAGTGGTTGACAACAACTCTGAGAGAACGTTCATTATAAAACAATAAAAATAAACGGACGCTTTCTTTGTATTTCTTTCCTCTTATACAGATCAGGACGTGGTGGACGAAGATGACTTCATCGGGCAGCTGCAGCACGTAGCAGATAAATCCAACAGATAATGACTGAACAGCGCCACCTCGCGGCCGGAGATGCACGGCATCATGTACACGGAATTATTAACAAAACGATTCATGACAAAGTCATCGTATAACATATAATATTTCAAGCATTATTTTTAAATGGTTTGAAGACGATCACTTATGGTGTTGTTAAATTGGTTAAATTCTGCCTGCAATGAAAAATGACTGCTTCTATATGAGTGAACTAAAATCGACATTATGATGATAATTTAATGTGCCGGATGTAAACTTGAAAATATGCACAAGAAATCGCTCTTCACTGCCCTGCATTAATAGTGTTATAACGTCAGTTTCAATGATATAGACATTGCACGTAAAAACCACTTTAAAGTTCTTTTGATTATTTTACAGGCACTGTGGTTAGTAGAGGGAAATCTGCACGTGACATATGAACTGATAATTGTTTTCTCTCGAAATACATACGAAACTTCAAAACAGTCTAGGAAAGTTAAAATTATATTGTTGTGCAATGCTATTATTTTGTAGTAGGTCCACAATGTTTGGCACGATTATATTACGTTCATTGCACACAATAGAATTGGTTGTGAAAGAGTTCTCTAAAACTTTTGATCGGAAGTTTATGTAAATATATGTCACCGAATATTTGAGTGATTTTAAAAGCACTGTGTGGAGCACAAATCGAACATTTTGCACTATCACTGTATTCATCGCAATAATGTACAGTACAGTTTTCGTAATATTTGTGGATTGGCAGTGAACATTTTCCCTTCACCAACCTTTTCTTATTTTTATATTTTCATAGTGTGTTCTTGATGTGGGGTCAATGAACTCGTAGAATTACCAATATACCCTTGTGGCAATTGAAGTGAAAATTAAAAGCTAGAAATTGAAAGAAAATACCTTGACGATATATGTATCGTGCTTTTAAAGTCCTCATAGATTTGAGATTGTATAGAAAAAAAAATCCCGTAAAATAAAAATGAAGATTTTGGGTTGCTGTAATGTACAGAAAATGCCATTAGATATGCCATGTTTCATTAAATTTCAAAAATATACAGACAAAAAAATAAGGTTAAGGCATTACTCACATCATTTTTTAGTTTTCTTTCGTTAATTGGTGATATTAATTAACCTACTTGATGATGTTCTTACTCAGAGTTGTTTTGAGGCTTGCAGTTGAAGCTTTAGTTTAACAATAAAAGTTATCTCTGTTGTGTATAATTTGTCGTCATTACTAAGTATAGGATATTAAGAGCAGAAATTCCTACGTATTATAAACGTTCAACTTTATCAATTAATTTTGTGCAACTTATGAAATATATTGAGAAATTCATTCCTAACGATATGATTGAATAAAAGTTTGAAAAGGTCATAATTCTAAAATCAGGAAACAGGAATAATGTTTGTTTTAAAAATACTGTCGTTCTTGTACCAAATTAACAAAAACGTATTTATTCTAATTTAGTTGATATGGAAGATTATTCGATAAAATGGAAAAATGATAACTTAAGGATGCAGTATTCTCTTTCAAATGACATTTCGAAATATATTTGTGTTATTTTTTTGACTTGTGTCCTTTAAAACGGTGTTTTTCAAAATATCGCGTTAAATCATCAATTATTGTCAGATGTTGTGAAAAGATATATTGGCAAAATTCGAATTAAATATTTCAATTTGCGTGTAACTGCCGTATGATTTGAGGTTAGTAACATTTCCTCTCTTATGTAAAAAAAAAAAGGACAAAATCCCCTGCCCCCTAAAAAAAATACACATATTCTTTTGCCGAAGAAAGTTAGGAATATTACATTTTAAAGTTGCTTTAGGTCGACAAAAACCCAACATATTTCCGGATGTCTCACAATGTAAAGCTCAGGGCAGGGGGCGGCTGAACGGGGGGGGGGGGGGGGGGCACCCCAAGATTTCCCCAAGTGCCCCTCTTGTGAACATTTGTGTGCCCCCTCGAGAATAAATGTGTCCCCTGGAGATGAAACCAAAATGGCCTCAACGGAATGTTCTCAAAAACTATTGGGTCTGAGAACTTGTGCAAACATTGTTGCCAATCACACCAAGTTTCCCACAATGCAAAAATTGTCTTGACTATTCCAATCAGTAATTCCTTAACCCTAAAGGGGCCGGGGGCGGAATCCGCCCCCCCCCCCTCAACATTTTCCGCCATAGCTTCTTAAAAAAAAAATTTCGCGACCCGAGCTGTTATGACTTTTTAGCCTCGAGCTTTGCGCATCTTTTGATAACAAAAACATAAAAATCGGACCACGGGTTGGCACGTAGCGAAATATTTTCCGGCGCTACGCGCCGTGAAAACTGAATTTTCGCATATATGTTGTGCACACCGAGCAGAATTGCCATTCATACATATGAATAATTAATTAGCCATAATTCCAAAACCCTTTGACCTATAGTCATGAAATTTCTTGGGCATGTTTAGGAAGAGTTGCTCTATGCATGTGCTGAGTTTCCAAAAATTTTGTCATTTGATGGCCGAGATCTTGGGGGGGGGGGCGGAATCCGCCACCCCCCCCCCCCCCCCCCGGCTGAGAGATGGTCAAAATAACCCGGCCCCTTTAGGGTTAAGGTCGACCTTGGTCAAGCATATACCTCGCGCCGCTGACGGGGGTTGTTTCTGGGTTTATCGGGAAAAAATTCGGATGTAAACATTTTTGGCTTTGCCTGTAATTGTCTCTAAAACTATTAGGTCTAAGACATTGTGATTTTTGAATGTTGTTGCCCATTCAGCCAGCTTTCCAACAATGTAAAGTTTGTCAGGAATATTCCATTTTAAAGATCAGCTCGTGTCGGGATACAGCAAGCGTGGACATCACCTTTCTACGGGGGCGCTGTTGAAGGTGGACGGTCATGTGCATCATCGGCAAATAGATGGCGCTTTTTATGGCGGCAAAAATGCAGAATTTTGCGCAACAGAGTGCTAATTTAAAAGGGGTGCGCACTCGTAAAAATTATAGCACTTGTGAAAATAGAGGACTCGTTTAAAAGAAGGCACTCGTTACATAAAAAATCACTTGAAGATAGGTGAACAAATTAGTTACAAACTGCGTTTCACATCCTGCTTTTTCGTTCCTAGGTAGAATTTTTATGTTGACGTCTGTTTTCACATCGCGTACTTGCATGAGAACGAAAATGTATAGTTACCCACGGCCAATGGGTTCTAGATTCAGTCGACCTGGCTTGAATGCAGTCCTTATCCGCCGTCATTTGAGATGTTTTTGTAAATGGTAATGATTCCTTCCGGTTAATTCAAAAAAATGTATAGGCCAAAGAACAGTGGCGTAGCAACCGGGGGGGGGCGGGGGGGGGGGGGGGCGACCGCCCCCCATGAAACCTTGTCGCCCCCCAGTCGCCCCCCCCCCCCCCCCCCACTGAGATTTTGAGTTTCTAAAAAAATTATCATTGATCTACATGACGCCATGGGCCCTATTATGTACTACAGAGTATCTTTTGCTTAGAAAATATTGGTTAAAGTGGTCAGAAATTGCCTCAGATAGCACCACGGAGCATTTAGAATCAAACATTTTTCGAGGCCCTTTAAGCGGGCCCCGAACCCCACGCCTATAGCTCAGAATTCTGGTAGCTGATTCAATGACTCCAACCTCGAAAACAAGGTTCACAAAATTTTCTTATGCCTTTAACTGAGAAAAAACCTCGAAAATTATGTTTAAATTATTATCTTTTGTGCTAAGATAATTATTGGTTAAAGTGGTAAGAAATTGCCTCAGATCATACCACAGAGCATCGAAAATCCAATTTTTTTTTTTGGGGGGGGGGCCTTAAGCGGGCCCCGAACCCCACACCAATAGCTCAGAATACCGATAGCTGATTCCATGTCTCGAACCTCGAAAACGATGTTTAAATAATTATCTTTTGCCAAGAAAATATCAGTTAAAGCATGGAGGAAAGTCGTAAGAAATTGCTTCAAATCACACCACAGAACATCTAGAATTAACATTTTTCGGGGCCCTTAAGCGGGCCCCGAACCCCACGCCGTAAGGGCTTCGCGCTTACATCAGTTATGATAAAGGTTTGTCCCCCCCCCCCACTTTTGAGAAGCGATTGACGCCCCTGCTTGACGCCCCCCACGAAATGTTCCAGCCCCCCCCCCCCAGCGCCCCCCCCCCCCCCCCCACTGAAAAATTCCTGGCTACGCCACTGCCAAAGAAACATTTTAGTTTCCTATTTTTAAGTGGTCGCCACAAAACAACAGCCTTCTTCTCTTTGTACGAGCGCACCGAGTTTTACAATTCACATGTGTTGTAGATATTCGGAAGTGAAAAGTTGCCGCAATTTTTAGCACGATATTTCTTTATCACGTCAAGCGATATATCAGTTTTCATGAATTGAGATGCAAGTAAGTAACAATTCTAGAAAGGCCTTTTGGAAAACTATTTTCTTAAGAAATCCATGTAACCCCCCCCCAAAAAAAAAAATAATTGAGTTTAGCGCACAAAACAGATATCTGATGTTAACATTAGCTACAACTGGATTTTTTTTCAAAAACTGTTACGTCTGAGGACTTCTCATCTTACTTTGTGAAACTTTTTTGCAAATAATCATATCTAACCCGTTTCCCGACAATACAACGTTTATCAGGATATTCCATTTTATAAGGTTCATTTAGTACGACTTATATCGCCAGGTTTTATGCAAACATTGACTACATTGATTAGAATGGATACAGTTTCGATTTTTTTTCTCAGAATATTGGGTCTCCGAACTTGATTGATTTTGCATCTTGTTGCCCTGCTCATCAGCTTTCCAACCATGTATAATGTGTTTGGAATATACTATTTTAAAGGCATTTTTATTGCGATATACGAAGCCGATGTACGCGGCTCTGACAAGGCTTTCTATAAGACTTACTGCACCAAGTGAAACTATGGGGTTAAAAGGAATACATCTTCAATTTTTTTCAAAACTTATGGATCTACGAACTTGATTATTTTTGCATCTTGTTCCCCTGCTCATCAGCTTTCAAAGCATTTATAATTTGTTTTGCAATATACTATTTTTAAGGGCCTTTTTATTGCGATATACGAAACCGATGTACGCGGCTCTGACACGGCTTTCTATGAGACTTACTGCACAAAGTGAAACTAGGGGGTTAAAATGAATACATCTTCGATTTTCTCCAAAACTGTTAAGTCTACGACCTTGATTAATTTTGTATTTTGTTCCCCTGCTCATCAGCTTTCAAAGCATGTACAATTTGTTTTGCAATATACTATTTTTAAGGGTCTTTTTATTACGATATACGAAACTGATGTACGCGGCTCTGACACGGCTTTCTAAGAGACTTACTGCACAAAGTGAAACTAGGGGGTTAAAATGAATACATCTTCGATTTTTTCCAAAACTGTTAAGTCTATGACCTCGATTAATTTTGTATCTTGTTTCCCTGCTCATTAGCTTTCCAACCATTCAAAATTGTTTGGATTATCGTATTTTTAGGTACATTTTTATTGCGATATATCAAGCCGATGTACGCGGCTATGACAAGGCTTTCTAAGAGACTTACTGCACAAAGTGAAACTAGGGGGTTAAAATGAATACATCTTCGATGTTCTCCAAAAATGGTGAGTCTACGAGCTTGATTGTTTTTGCATCTTGTTGTCCTGCTCATCAGCTTTACAACCATGTATAATTTGATGGGAATATAGTATTTTTAAGGACATTTGTATTGAGATATGCGAAGCCGATATACGCAGATCTGACAAGACTATCTGTGAGACTTACTACACAAAGTGAAACTAGGGGGTTGAAAAGATTACATCTTAAATTTTCTCCAAAACTACAAAGTCTGACTATTTTGCCTAAACTCAGTGTATGAGACGTCAGGGGATCGCGTAAAGTGATTAGAGCCAGACCTAAACGGTAAAAACCGGAATTATGGGTAATTCTTTAAGCATACGCAATGCGTTCATCATTGTTTGGGCAGTACCCCCAGCTGTGCCGTACTACCCATAGTGTTATGTGCATCATCTATGCATTGAGGAGTGCATGACACATGGTGTGAGCTCCAAGGCCGATGTGCACCTGTCCCGTTTAATGATCCAGTTACCTGATAATTTGTTAGCATAAGCTGATGTAAAATTGGGCAAAATTAGATGTTTATGAAAAAAAATCAAATTGTAAGGGGTTAACCTTGCATTTTTTTTTTACCAAATCGGGAAAAATCAGATGTTTCTGGAAAATTGCAGATTGTATGGGGTTAGATGTTTATTAAACATTTCAAATTGTAAGGGGTGAACATTGCATATTTTAGCGAAATTAGGCAAAATCAGATGTTTCCGAAAAATTTCAGATGTAAGGGGTTAAGGCCAAAAAAAAAAGTCTCCGGTTTCTGGTATGCGCGCGCGTCGCCATAGGTATGCGCATCGGCAAAATGAAAAAGTTTTTATTTTTAATGAACGATGATGTCTCAAAACCGCCAAACTCACTGGTTTGACTGGAATCCTGCTGCTGCAAAATTTTAACGTGTTTTTAGATGGGGTTATGATCGAGAATAAGCTTTATGTGGCCTCTCTGGTCTCCCATAATATTTGCACTAAGTTTAGTCGGGCACCATTTGCAGTCATCAGCCGACATTTGAAGCAAAAAAAAACAGGTAAAAAAAAATAAAGGCGTGTCGCCGCACCACTTTTTGAGCAAGCTCCATACCAGCA